CAATTAGAACTATGCTATGTATTTCCTTGAGTGGGAACAATTTCTAGCTTACATCTGTTTGTTTATTGTTGAAGGAAATTATTTACCGCTATTGTTGAACGAAATTTGAATTGATGAGATAAGAAAGTGTGATCTGTAATCAACCATTTATTGATATTTATTGCATGAGAATTTTTGTCCAAATTCGTTGATCAGTAAAATATTATTTTTATTATTTTCTTCTAGGCCATCTGCCGTCCCTTAGCCTCGATGAAGTCAAACGCCTACAAGCGTCCAGCATTCTATGCTTCCATAGCTTGGGCACTGGCCCTGCTCTTTTCCACTCCACAGTTTGCCCTGTTCAAGAAAAGTGAAGGCGACTGTGTTGGGGCCTATACTAGCCCTTACCAGGTAGATTTACCCTTACTCTACCGCCGACGAATCAGGGCTAAGTTGTGTATTACAGTATGCCGTCTACGTGGTAGTGTTCAACTCAGTGGTTTGGCTCCTACCCAGTGCTGTAGCTGGGTATCTTTACTACAGAGTTTGTAAAGCTGTCTGGCAAAGTACATCGTTTGGGAGCAATTTCCAGGCAAATGGGTAAGTATCCGAAACAACCCCAGCTTCCTGATCAGGTTGCCATTGTGTTCATTTCCAGAAAAGCAGGACAAATGGGATTTTCTGTTGCTGGGATGCAAGTGCATCATAAAGGTTAGTATAATGAAATTGTTCCGGATTTACTTTTGCACTGTCTAGACAGAAAATAACGTAAAAATGTCATTCGACAATATTTTGACCTTTACTAATGTGCAACTGCGGACAAAGCAGCTATAACTTCCCAGAAAGTAGATCCGCGGCGAAGAAACCGCTTCAATCAACTAACCGCTATTTTCACCTACCGTATCGCTACCGTACTCAACGCGTCATTTTTAGGTGCAACTTTACAATGTGTAGAGCTGGACAGGAGACGAGTTCAGACCGTGAAGCTCACGCTAACCATTGTCGCTGGAAACTTCATTCTTTGGGCTCCATTCTGCATCACATCCGTGATCGATGCGCTTTGGCCTTCAGCTATTAGTGAGTTCATTTGTTCGTACATAATTGCTACTAGTCGTGAGAAAAATTCTGCATTTGCACAGTTGTAGTTCTTGAGATGCATTTGCATATTGCACGACGAAACTAGAAAAACCAGCTCGCTGAACTGGAGTAAGCTCTACTGCACAGTCACCCTTCTGCCAGATTACAGTAGTGGCAATCGCTGTGGGACCCATACGTCGATGCCCCTATGTCGCTGTCGTCAAATAGTGTCACTCACAAAGCAATGGTGGTATTATTAAGACGACGCAAATGAACGCAGAGACTCAGGCTGAGAGTAGTCATCTGTACTGCCCGCGCAAATTATATCCCTCGCATGGTCCCGCAGCGGATTTCTATAATTATATCCCTCGCATGGTCCCGCAGC